TCTCTCTCTCTCTCTCTGTCTGGCAAGTGCACGCACCCTATAGAAAAAACCTTTCAAAAAAAAAGAAAGAAATTAAATAAATAAGTCATTCTTAAGAAAGAAAACCGTTCTTGGGGGGACCAGCAGGTGGCATAGCGGTTAAAGTGCTGGATCCCACATGGCTGATTGCGGTTTGAGTCCTGGGCCGCTGGCTTGAAGCACACTCGGTATGTGTGTGCGTGCGTGCTCAAAATCCCAGGAAGAGAAGGGAGAAGAAGGGATTGTGGAATGGCCACCCCCACTTGGGGATGCGGTGACTCCTCACTTTCTGTCTTTCCAGTGAGTGCACACGCCCTATAGCAAAAATCACTCAAAATAAACAAATAAACGAACAAATGAATGCATACATACACACAGACCACCTCCCTGGGGCCAGAAGGCGGCACGGGGTACAACATGACACTGCAAGCTCCAGTCCAGAGACCTCCCGGAGTGCTAGGCCCGTGTGCCCACGGTCTGGGGCTGGCTGGAGCTGGGCTGGATCGAGGTGTCAAGGCCGTTAGAGGTGCTCTCTTGCTCATGAACAAAATAAGCTTTAAAAAAAACAAAACAAAACAAACACCAGGGCCAGTAGATGGCATAGCGATTATGTTGCCAGACTCCCACATGGCCAACCGTGGTTTGAGTCCTGGACCCAGCAGCTTGAAACTCACGCTGGGCATGTGTGTGTGCATGCCAAGATCCCAGGAGCAAAATGGGGAAGGGACTGTGGCATGGCCATCCCCCCAAGGGGGTGATTTCTCACTTTCCCTCTCTCTTTTTCTCTCGCTCTGTTGAGTGCACATGCCCTTGGATGAAAACTTCTACCAAAAGAAAAATAAAAAATAAAAAACCTCTTTAAAAAAAAAAAAACACAATGTATTCATTCATTTATTTTCATTTGACCAGACAGAGAGGGGGGGGGAGAGAGAGAGAGAGAGAGAGAGTGAGAAAGCAAGCCGCCAGGTCTGGGACCCAAACCATGGTCAGCAGTGTGGGAGTGCCCAGCACCTTAAGCACCACGCCCCCTGCTGGTCTCATCCCCTAAGAAACTCTGAACGCCTTTATTCTGAAACTATTTCTGGCCTTGCTGTGATCCTGCGCGGCTCCCTGGTTTTACATCCCTCTCACTGCCCTGTCCGGGAGCTGCCTTCTCTTCACGACCTGCCGGAATCCCGGGCCTGTCCCCCAAGCCCTGGGCCGGCTCATGACCCAAGGGCGGCCCCGCCCCACCCGGCCTGCACAGCACCTTCCCCAGCCCCAGAAGGTTCTGGACTTGGGGACACAGGAAGTCACGAGACGGTCGGTCACCGACACACAGGGAGCAGGAGCAGGACGACAGATACCCACGGTGCGGAGGGCCGCTCACCCCTGCCTGGGCCGGCCACTTGCCTTGGAGATCAGCTCGTCGTGGTTGGCCAGGTGGGCCCTGCAGTGGATGCAGCTGTACGTGCGGTGGCAGGTTGGCAGGTACGCTTGGAAAGTTTTGGATTTGGTCATCTTCACCATCTCGGCCGGCCACTCCTCACTCAGCTCAGGGCTGGCGCTGGAAGACCTGGGGCTCTGCTGGGCTCTCTGACAAAAGAGACACTGGAAGACGCACGCAAGAGCCGTCGTTGTCCGGGAAGGCGTGTGGCGCCGTCCACACAGCTGCGACGAGAGAAAGACGCCCCGACCTGTCGGCGAGTCAGGGGCTGCGTGTTACAGACAGCGCCTGGCACGGCCCCGAGGGGCTCTGTGCGGGGGTCACTAGTTTGGAAGGGGGACAGAAATTAAAGATCTAACTTTTTTTTTGAAAAGAATTATTTTATTGGGATCAGCAGGTGGTATGGTGGTTGAGGTGCTGGACTCCCACATGGCAGACCACGGTTCAAGTCTTGGACCTGGCCGTTTGCGCTCTCTGTCTCTCTCTCTCTCTCTCTGTCTCTCTTCCTCTCTCTCCTTCTCTCATCAAGTCAGAAAATAATAAAGAAAATTAAATAGTTTTTTTTTTGGAAAGGTTTTTGCTATAGGGCACGTACGCTTGCCAGACAGACAGAAAGCGAGAAATCATCCCCCAGGAGGGATGGTCACGCCGCAATCCCTTCTCCTCCATTCTCCCCTCGGGATCTTGGGCACGCACGCACACGCGCCTGGCGTGAGTTTTAAGCTACCAGGTCCGGGATGCAAACCCCGGTCGACTACGTGGGAGTCCAGCGACGCAGCCATTACGCTAACTGCTGGTCCCACAAAGTCCGTTTCCTTCTGAGGACGTCGAATTACACTGGCATTTTCGAACCGCTTCCCAGACCCTTGAACCCTTTCCCCACGAAGCTGCCAGTCAGTGAGGCTGTGTCAATCTCCAGTTGTCCCCTGTCCCTGCGGGCCTCACCTTCAGCCCCAGGGCATTTTTTCCTGATTTGCCAGAGAGCACGCGCACTTGCCAGAGAGAGCAAGTGGGAAGGTGAGAAAGCAGCCCATGCACGGGCGAGGGTCCCCTGCAAGCCCCCCTCTTCCACCTCTTCCTCCTTCCAGGGCCTGTGCTCAGTGTGTTACTCTTTTCTATTTATTTTTTTTTAATATTTAATTTTATTTATTCATTCATTTTATTTATTTTAATTTGACCAGAAAGAGAGAGAGAGACAGTGAGAGAGGGAAAGTGAGAAAGCAAGCCACCAGGTCTGAGACTCGAACCGTGGTCGGCCATGTGGGAATCCAGCGCCCTTATCCACCACGCCACTTGCCGGCCCCCTCTGTCTATTTCTTTATTATTACTATTTTGTTATGGGTTTCTGCCTTAGGGTGCATGCACTTGCAGGAGAAAGACAGTAAGAGGGAAAGTGAGAAACCACCCCCACCTCCTGCCTCCATCCTCCTCCCGGGATCTTAGGCACATGTGCGCAGGCGTGGTGTGAGTTTTAAGCCATCAGGTCCGGGACTCGAACTGCGGTCTGCATGTGGGAGCCCAGCAGCCTAACTGCCATGCCACCTGCTGGGCCCATCGGTGTGCGTTTCAAGCTGCCTGTGCCCAGCCATATGGAGTCCAGCCACCCGGGTCACAGGCAGTGGGCTGGCCCGATGTACTGGGTTTCACCTGCTCCCCTGACGTGCAGAACCCTTCCTGAATTGGAATCCTGGCACCCCCACCTGTGATAAACTCGCTGACGTGCCCCCAGGAAGGTCAGAGAGACAAACGTCAACCTGGTCACTGCCCTCCGTAAGCCTGGCTCCACTGTCCCGCCCAGCTGTCCCGGGGGACCACAAGGTCCACAGGAGAACGCAGTAGCTCGCTCAATCCACACCCGTCCATGGGTAAGGAAAGGAGGGGAGAGGGCTTGTCCTGGGGCTGAATCTTTCACTTCTTGGGGGCAGCAGGTGGCTTAGGGGTTAAGATGCTGGACTCCCCCATGGCCGGCTATGGTTCAAGTCTCAGACCTGGCGGTTAAAAAAAAAAAAAAAAAAAATCACACCAGGCGCATGTGCGTCCATGCTCAAAACCCCAGAGGAGAAGGGATTGCAGAGTGCCATCCCCCGGGGGCGGTTTCTTGCTTTCCCTCTCACTGTCTCTCTGGTGAGCGCACACACCCTATGGCAAGGTGGTTGAGGGCGCTGGACTCCCACATGGCTGACTGCAGTTCGAGACCCAGACCCAGTGGCTTGCTTTCTCACTTTCCCTCATTCTCTGTCTCTCAAATTAAAAATAAAATAATGATGGTAATAAGGTTAAATAAAAATAATTCCTTAAAATATATATTAATTAGGGCTGGCAGGTGGCATGGTGGTTAAGGATGCAGGACTCTCACATGGCGAACCATGGTTCAAGTCCTGGACCCGGCAGCTTGCTTTCTCTCGCCACCGCCCCCCCCCCCGTCAAATTAAATAAAGTTAAATAAAGTAATTCTTAAATAAATAAATATATATATATATTAAATAAAAGTAAAACACACACACAGGCTGACTCTTGGAACCAGCCCACAGCCTCATGATTGGGGAGCGGGATCCCACACGGCCGACCACGCGGTCTAGGTTCCGGACACAGAGGCCTGAGACAGGCCAGCTGTGTGTGTGCCCAGATCCTGACAGGATGGAGAACCGGAGGAGAGGGACTGCAGTGTGACCATGGCCCACAGGGGGTGGTGGTGGACGCTTCCTCCCCCTCCCTCTCCCCGCAAGTGCACAGGCCCACGGTACTCAGAAAACACAGGACAGAACACACACGCCCACGGCCTCTGCGGGCCCCAGCCGGCGCAGGCTGAGGGACAACCGCAGGGTCACGACCCAGACCTGCACGTCCCCAGAGAGCACTCTGCTCGAGCGGGGTCTCGGCTGGTGCTGTCCAGGTGGCCAGTGCCAGGCCTGCGACAACAGGCCCAGAACACTCCCACGAGGACAGCCATCTCCCCAGGCTCGGGGTCTTCATGCTGGGGTCCTTGGTGGTCAGTCTGGGCTGGGGTGCAGCCTGAGGCCTCCTGGGGGATCAGAATCCCGCCCGGCAGGCACTGTCCAACGCCTGTCTGCACGGCTGTCTGCCGGCCCGGCCGCTGGATCCTCACTCCACCCAGGAATGGCCTCTCTGCCCGTCTCTGCCCAGGTGTGACCACCAGGTGCCAGGCGCCCGGGGCCACCGTGGTCCCGAGTCCAAGTGCAGGTGCTTTCTGCTACCCTGTCCTGCCTGGTCTGGGAGAGGGGACGTCGGGGGGATAGCCAACTCCCCAGGAGGGGACCCTCCAAGCACCGATGTGTCCCTGTCCCTGAGGCCAGTGGAGACCACAAGCAGTCACGGGCCCTGTGCCACGCAGGGGGCCCCCAGGCTGATTCAGCACGGGTCTCTCCTTGCCACCCGCTCGTGCCCCGCCCTGCTCCTGTGCTGTCACAGAGTGAGGGCCACTGAGGAGCCTGCCACGCACAGGGCAACTTCAACTGGCCTGAAAACCCCAGCCCTGCCCCAGCGCCCAGGCGTCTCCCCGAGTCTCAGACCCTCAACTGGAGCTGCGATGACACCAATCTCCCGCTGCTCCCCGGACCAGAGTGAGGACCTACAGCGAGGCGGCGATGCCAGGCACAGGGCACAGGGTAGCCCACGGTCACTGCCTTCCGACGCCTGCCCGCACAGCCTCGCAGTCTCACTCCGCCCGACTCAGTCCATCCTCGGACAGCCGCGGCCCCAAGAGTCCTTCTCTGAAGAGGCCTGGCATGCCCGGGCCCGCCGCCCCCTTCACCGAGCCCGGTCTCTCCCCGATGGTCCCCGCCAGCCTCCGAAGGCTGTGACTCCTGCAGAGTCATCTCAGGCCTGACTGCCACACTTGGCACCAGCCTCGGAGGGGATGCCGGCAGGCGGTGGCCAGGCCTGGTCATGTGGTCACTGAGAAGCATGGCGTGCCGTGTCCTGCTGTGCTTCCAACTACGCAGCCACTGTCACACAGAGAGGCCACGGCCAAGTCGTAATGGGGCTTTTTATTTTTTTTTTTTGGAGAGGTTTTTGCTACAGGGCGCATGCACTCGCCAGAGAAACAGAGACAGAAAGAAAGCGAGAAATCACCCCCCAGGGGGAATGGTCATGCTGCAATCCCTTCTCCTCCATTCTCCTCTTGGGATCTCGGGCACGCACGCACATGCGCCCGGCCTGAGTTTAAGCCGCTGGGTCCGGGACTCGAACCATGGTCGACTATGTGGGAGTCCAGCGACATAGCCATTACGCTACCTGCGGGTCCCCGTGTCTCTCTATATTTCTCTGTCCATCTGTGCCTCTCTGCCCAACTCTCCCCATCTGCCTGTCTCATCTCTGCCCATTGCTGTCTCTTCCTGTCCATCTCTCTGTGTGTCCTCTGGTCTATCTCCCTCTCTCCGTCTCTCTGTCCATCTCTCTCTGTGTTGATCCCTGTCAGATAAACTTAAAAAACAACAACAGACACAGCGCTCCGTCTCCTGGCCCGGCCACAGTTAGGCAGGATTCGTAAAGTGAACCCCGGGCAGGTGACGCCCTTGGGCTGAGGTTCCCACAGGGGGCTTTGGCGGGGAGGAGTGCTGCGACCTCGGAGAGCAGCGGAGCCACCTCCCTGACCCCGCCCTGAGCGGCTGTCTGCTCTCTGTGGGAACAGGCCCTGCCCGCAAGGCCCGCCTGGGGATGAGCAGACGAGGTCCCTGCGACACAGGGAGGCCATGATGAATGGCTCCAGCCGTTCACAGAGGGGGCTGGCAGCGTGGGCACGCGCGTTCTAAGCAGGTGCTTGCAGAGATGCACGCGGTCCGAAGGGACGGGTGTTCTTATCAGGCCACTGTGCAGACCGGGAAACCGAGCACAGAGAGGTTAACCACTGACGAAAGCTGCACAGGAGGGGCTGGATTCAGAGCCAGAGTCCACACTGCAGCGCCGCGCCCACAGACACGTGAGCAGATGGTCACCCTCGTAACCAGCGCAGAGTGGGGGCTCACCGACAGCTATCTCCCACCTCACAGGTAGGCAATGTTTTTTTTTTTTAATTGTTTTAGAGTTTTTTTCTTTTTTTGCCTAGGGCATGTGTGCTCACTGGACAGAAGAGAGGAGAGACAAAGCAAGAAATCACCCCTGGGGGGAATGGCCACACTGCAACCCCTTCTCCTCTATCCTCCCCTTGGGATTTTGGGCACGCACACACATGTGCCTGGGGTGAATTTCGAGCTGCCAGGTCCAGGACTTGAACCGGGGTCAGCCATGTGGGAGTTCAGTGCCTTAACCACCGCGCCACCTACTGGTCACATGTGGGTAATGACTTGAGACCGTCGGTACACCCAGGCAAGGGCGCCCTGCAGTGCAGCCACATGGCAGCAGCCACCAGCATCTCTGGAGGCGTGCCCTGAAGTCCAGCTCACCTCGGGGCTGACTGGTACATTTGGGCAAAACAAAAACGGGGCCAGCGAGTGGCATGGAGGTTACGGCGGCTGGACTCCACGTGGCCGACTGCGTGGTTCGAGCCCTGAACCTAGCGGCTTGAGGAAAAGTGTGTGTGTGACCAAAGTCCCAGGAGGAGAATGGAGGAGAAGGGACTGCAGTGTGGCCATCTCCCCAGGGCTGCGTTCTCACCTTCCCTCTCTGTTTCTCTCTCCTGAGCCCACCCTGCACCACAGCAAACTGAAAGAGACACATGGGTAGGGGACGAGCCGTTACAATATTGCCCCGAATAAAAGGTTAGAAACCTCTAGCTCACCAAAGACACCTGGCGAGTACAGGGCTCCGGGACATGTATCAGAAATGTCAGGATAACATGTAACAGAAATGTCTCCTCCTTAAGTACCTGCCCCCTTTATTACCCTTTGATTTTGCTGCCAATCACACGTGCAGGCGCAGCCTGGACCTCACCCCGCAGCAGTGCAGGGGCAGGGGCAGGGGCAGGGGCGGGCAGGGTTTGCAGGTGGCCCTAACGGCTTCCCGTACACACACGTGCACCTTCCTTCTCGGCTCCCAGGGTGCGAAGCTCCCTCTGCACTGCAGGAGCTGCAGGCCTGGGGGGCTCAGTCCCACACCTACACCATGTCCTAAAACGGTTCCCGCCAGTTCCTGCTGCTCTGGAGGACCTCTAGGGCCCGGTGCCCTGGGCGCCTCTGCCCTGAGGCTCTCGTCCTCCAGCTCCCCTGGCACCCACAGCACCGTCTCCGGTGAGACCACCGAGAAGGGGTTCGTGCTGAGCCGTGTGCACACGGTTTATTTCTGCCACTGCAAATGAAGCTGCCCGAAGACGAAGTGGCCTCGGGACCTTGGCTTCCCTGCTACCTACAAGGAGGGGGAAATGGAGGAACCCACCACACTCTTCTCAGCTGACAGGGGGGTATGAGGCCTACAAGACTGGACTGACCTGGGGGACCAGCAGTTAACGTAATGGCTATGTTGCTGGACTCCCACGTAGTCGACCACGGTTCGAGTCCTGGACCCGGTGGCTTAAACTCACGCCAGGCGCATGTGCATGTGTGCCCAAGATCCCGAGAGGAGGATGGAGGAGAAGGGATTGCGGCGTGGTCACCCCCCATGAGGGGTGATTTCTCTCATTCTGTCTCACTGTGTCTAT